AGTCGAAGCCACAGAGAAGGGAAGGCTTTTGCGCAGCCAACGCTTTACCATTGAACTACGAGGCTTTTAGCGACCTTTTATTTCTAAGACATGTTTTGCTCGGACGCCGCGGGGACAGGCTATTCAAGGTCACCCTCCGTCTGGCTTACTGGCCAATTACTTCTCAAGGCCAGTGCACAAACTGCGGAGGAGTTGTTCACGCTCAGTCACTCCCAGAACCGACGGTTTACTATTCGGTTGTAGTTGTCCGGACCCGGTGATCTACTTGCCGGACTGCGCCTCTGCACTCCGGCCCATTCATGGCTGGACTGCACTTGTCTGAAAGACACTTGCATATTACTATCATTCTACGCTTGTTACACCTTGTTAAATTATACATAACAGTCTGGCTTTCCACGCCTTATCATATCTACTAGCTTATGAATATTGGGATACGTTCTATCGTCTATTATCTGGTCGGATTACTTCGTATCCCACAGGCTCATTGGGTGCCGTGAATTTAATTACAATTGGATCGATTTTACGCGGCTTAGCTACTGCACATATGAAACTAACCAATAAGGGCGCAGTAAACTATCAGTCAGGACTTTCTAATTAATCCTTTAGGGTACACGGGATGAACTACTAGGGTACCTTTGGTTGTTAGTGGTGTGGTATATTTTCGGTCCGTTGACCCAATTGTAAAAAAATTCGCGGCCCCAGTGGGAGTCGAACCCACAGGGCAGGGAAGTCTTTTGACCAACCAACGCTCTACCACTGAGCTACGAGGCTACGTGAATAAATTTACTGCAAATGGTGAGCTTCGTAACTCAATGGTAGACCGTTGGTGGGACAAAAGACTTCCCTGCCCTGTGGGTTCGACTCCCACTGGGGCCGCAATCAGGTGTTTGAAGTCTGTCAAACCCCGACTTCCAATCCTCTGAACATTCAGGCACGCTGAGATGAGATTTCATGAGATTTGCTTTGAATTAGGAGAAATACTTTACTTACTAAACGATTAAAATCTCTCCGATTGATCTAGTCGAAATCGTTATCTAAGTTTCAGGGCCCACAACGGAAGCACCTGCTCAGGGGCTTCTAGAAACAGGTTGTAGGTACGTTCCCACGCCGCCGCAAGTACGTAAGATTTTATGGGTGATTGTTCTCACAGAGTTGCTCACAATCATGAGTATTCCGTTATGTGCCAAAAGCCTCGTTAATTCGATTATTCTTGCACCACCATCCGCGCTATAGTTAAAAACGGACGCTACCTGCGTTCGAGAGAGCTCCCTCTGCGTCATCGGCAACAATTTGTGGCCTGGGGTCTGCACTTTTCGTTACGTTGAGGAAATGCAATAAGGTGGAGTAGTAGGACGTTTGACTGAATCGTACCATCCCATCTCAAGCCGCAGAAATTCGCTGACACGCCTTGCGGTTTGTGTGCAGCATGACATCGCAGGTTTTTGTGCAAAGGATCGATTAATATGATTATTCTGCCATCACCAGCTAGTTGAGAATGCTCTGCCTTTTTTTAAAAGTTATGCATAAAAACATCCGCAATTAAATTAATTCTATAGAATGTTTGAGCAGATTTGAATAATTCATTTGACTCGGCATCTTCGCGGGGCTTCGAAACCACACCAGCGTGTGGAAGGCTTCAGTGCAGACAACACTCTATCCAACTAAGATACCCGCCAGGAGCTATGATATTTATCATAGGTTTGTCAATTTATCCCCCCAGCGTACGGTAATCTATGGATCTCCCAAGCATTCAACCACCGAAACCAGGAAGGTTATCGTTATCTGACCCAACATACACCTTTTTAAATAGACCACTTCACATTCCAGCAAGCAAACATCCGCGGTCCTTACCAAAAACTGCGGAGTTATTCAGGGGTTTATCATACCCCACTGACTACTTAAGATCGCTAAAGGAATCATTGTATGTAAAATCTCCTGATGGTATGGTTACTTAGCATTTTCTCATCCCCGGTATCATTGACTTTATCTTTATAAAGGAAGCGGAGGAGGGAGCGGTGAGCGAGTGGGCAGATTCACCGTGTGTCTCTTTTAATTCTTGTTTTCATTCGCGATATTTCGCTGCGTTGCCTCAGCTTGTTGTTGCCTTCGTGCAGCTTGCCCAGTTTGCCTCAGTATCTGCCTCGCCTTGCTTCCACGTTTGCTGCGGTTTGTTGGAGCACGCGGCTGCCCATCACCGAACTCGACGGAGGAACTGTCGGTCATTCTCTCATAAGTCAGATGCATCTCTTCGTTCTCAAAGATGACCTGGACCATGTCTCAGCACGGTCTTCGACTGAGTAAACGGAAGCCAGTCCGATGCCTTTTCTGATTGCGACCCTCCCTTAGTTCTGATTCCCTAGACATCCTGTCCAATGAGGCAACCTGTTCTCAATAACTTGGTGTTACTCTGACATCTAATCTTTCATTTATTCTTTGCATCGAAACCCTCTTCATTAAAATATGTAAACTCTTATAGTACATCTGTCGGTTACGTTCATATCAAATAACTCGAGCCCTAATCTGGCATTTTATATATATACCTGCATTCTCCACCACTTTCACTACTGTTCTCTTGTAATTTTTTAGTCTTTCTTAAAAGAGCCTTGTTGAATATTAAACGTATCCGATTTTTTAATTTTTTTTATTTTTTTACTACTGGCAAACGTTAGGACTCTGAGATACGCGCATTTCTGGGTCATTACCCTTCATCGGAGTACACCCATGTACTAATTAAACGTATCCTCCGAATGCTTGTTTCAGCTGCAGGTATTTCCTATGTGTTTTTTAAGCAGATAGTATAATAGAACAATATCCTTACATGATCAGCCAATTTGCTGATCGCATCCTTAATGAGGTTTCTCATTCATTCCATTCTGAAATAATGCCAACGAAGGCGTTCCGTCCTATGAACCGTAACGTCCGACCTAGGCATATCAACACTCTAAATGCCCATACCCGGCACCCCGACGCATGTGTAAAGGAATGGAAATCCAGAAGCTGAGATTAGACCTGGTTGCATAAGAGGTGTAGAATTTATTAAAAGCTGTAAAGGTTTTGAGAATTTTCTTAATTTTTTTCTTCGTCTCAGTGAATAGAGCCATCTTTTCCTCTGTGTCAATTTATCCAGATTTATCAAAAACCAAAAAATGGAGAGGGATTAAGATATTTATTTGAAATTGATTAAAATAGATTTGGAGGCTGCGTTTCTTCCTGTCTTCTCAAATTTTGGGTTCATCAACGTCTCGTCTTTTGGGGAGTCTCCATTACGCAATTTGAGCCGGTTCTGAAGGTGATTACGGAGATGCCATTGTGTTTTAGGTACATGTATTTGCCCGCATCATAGGTGATGTTGCTATTTGCGGGAGGGGGGCGGAGGAGGAACATTCAAAAATATGAGTTAATATGTCTTACAAATTACAAGTTTTGATCTCTGGCCAAGCAGTAATTCATGTTAACGTGTCGTACAAAAGATTCCACCAACCAACGTTAATAGGATAAGATTGGGGTCTCAGAATAATAGCATATTTCAGCTTTCTACTATGCAAAGAAAGTAATCGCTACCTTGGAGATTGATCAGGTTGGTTGAAGCTTTATACGCAGTGTTAAAAAGTTGCTATTAGCAAGTATCTGTGCATGCAATAAAGCTAAATAAGAAAATCAATGTATAACAACAGTGGCATTTACGTATTATCTGCGAAAAAAACAGGCCAAGTGTAATTGTTATTTTAACGAATTTGCTGAATTTAGAAAAATGAGAAAATTCCGTACATGTTCTTAGGCGGCTTAAATCCATATGCTTGATTAGCATCTGTATAGTTAGTAATGTTAATAAAGCAAAACTTGTAAAATAAAATTGGCATTAACGGATTACCTACGAGCAAAACATTCCCAAATGGAGTTTTTGTTTTAGTGGATTGGCTGAATTTAAAAATACAAGTAGAAATTTGCGTACATTTTCTTAGGCGTCTTAAACCCAGCTGCTTGTTTATTTAGGCTCAGACTCAAGCTACTATTGGTGTGTACATTTGTTGTGTTTATTGGACAAAAAATAATCTTTTATATTATACATTGTCTTTGGAACACTTGAATTGCTGTCTTTGGTTTTTCTTGCGCTAAAAACCATGCTATATTTGCCAAGACCGTTTGACACTCCTTAAGGATAATGTAAGAGATTTTAAATTCGTGTAGTCCAATGTGTTCAGAAATGAAATTTCTTTTTTGTGCTTGATCAGATTACTTTCAAATATTTTTTTCCAAAATATAAATTTTGAAATTAATTTTTATGCTCGAGGACAGCATGAAAAACGCCAATTAAATTTAAAAAACTAAACAGAATATGATGAACCCCGGAAAAAGTGAACTGCGCGGTACACTTTAAGGCAAATTTTAATCTCACCAGGAAAAACCACTGCCAGCGCAACACTGCCAGTTGGCGCCGTACTCCCGCTCCATGGTTCTCTTAACCGTGGAGGTTAACTCTGACAGCGGTACGCCCTTGTCGATTTCTGAGCAGATCAGATCGACCACTCGGTCCTGCGTTTGACGATCCATGTCGCTGTCCTTAACGACATCACGTCTACCGTAGGATGCGTTGTAACGTCGTTCGGGCTGAGAGCGAATCATTGTTGTACTGTGTTGAGGGAGAGCGCCTACTTCCTTCCTTTAAGTAACACCTACCTGAGCGCCAATTGGATCACTCGTGGGCTTCTCATTGGTCAATTCACGGTCAAACGCGCTTGACAGTTGCTACGGCGATGTGACTACCAGCAGGATACTTCTCGAAGGTGTTTTAAGCCTCGCACGTGCGAAAACTGCAATAAGTACACTGCTAAAAATGCGTTCTAAGGCATGATATTATTAATTTTTCTGTTATTTACATCATCTAGGACCCAATTGTCCTCCTTGTGGAACTTTAAAGAGCTCTACTGGGTTTCGCGTCGCTTAGTGACGCTAATCGATAAAAAGATGTAATGGCATGGAAGATCTAATATTAATCCTTTGCACGTTTTGTAAAACAACGCTTAGATGGACGTCTAATGTGGACAAAGACAAGAAACGCAACAACAGTACCATACGCATGAATATGTGTGCTTCTTTTAATGATTTCGGAAATGAATGTATGAACGTCGGATAAAGTCTTACCCAAAGGTCTTTTGCTGAACACTTTGGATTCCATTGTCATAATAAGGCGTAGTTCTCTCTTTCTCTCACTGTTACATTTATCCAGATTTATCAAAAACCAAAGTTAAATAGACAGGGAATATGATATTTATTTGAAATTGATTAAAATAGCTTAAGCTGCTGCTTTTCTTCCTGTCTTTATGACTATGGAGCTCATCAACGTAGCCACTCTTTGGGAACTTCCATCACGCAGTTTGAGCCGGTTCTGAAGGTGATTACGGAGATGCCATTGTATTTCAGGTATATGTATTTGCCCGCATCATAGGTGATGTTGCTGAGAAAAATTCAAAAACATAAGTTAATATGTCTTACGAATTACAAGTTTATATCTCTGGCCAAGCCGTAATCCATGTTAACATGTCATACAAAAGACTTCACTAACCGACGTTAATAGAGTGAGATTGGGGTCTCGGAATTAAAGCATATTTGAGCTTTCTACTATGCCAAGAAATTAATCGCTTTCTTAGAGATTGATCAGATCGGTTGAAGCTTTATGTGTACAATTAAAAAGTTACTATAAGCCAATATTTGTACAGATATAATTGTATAACGATGTAGCGTTCATGCGAACACAACATGCAAAATAGAATTGTTATTTGAACGAATTTGCTAAATTCGGAACAAGTAAAAAATTTCGTGCATTCTCTTATCCGACTTAAATTCCTTTCTTTGTCTATTATCTGTATAATCAGTAAGTTTAAGAAAGAAATGCTCGTAAAATAACAGTAGAATTTACGCATTACCTGCTAGCAAAACATTCCAAATGGAATTGTTATTTTAACGAATTTGGAAAATTTAGAAATGCAAGTAAAAATTTCCGTAGTTTTTTAGCCGACTTCAATCCAGCTGGTTGTTTATTTAGGCTCTGACTCAAGCTACTATCAGTGTGTAATTTCGCTGTGTTCATTGGATAAAAAATTATACTTTATATGTCACATTGGCTCTGGCACACTTTAATTGCTGTTATTGGTTTTTCTTGCGCCAAAAACCATGCTATATTTTCCGAGACTATTCGACCCTCCTTACAAATAATGAAAGAGATTTTGAATTCGCGTATTCCTATGTGTACGGACGTGATATTACTTTCTTCCTGTGTGAAAAGGTTACATTAAATGCCCTTTTTTGGAAATTACAAATTCTGAATATTATTTCTTAATCAAAGGCAGCATGCAAACCGCTGAGTAAATCTAAAAAACTAAACAGATTATAATAAACCCCGGAAAAAATGAAATGCCCGGCACATTTTAAAGCAAATTTAAACTTACCAGGAAAAACCACTGCCAGCGCAACACTGCCAGTTGGCGCCGTACTCCAGTTCCAGGGTCTTCTTAACCGTGGAGGTAAGCTCTGACAGCGGTACGCCCTTGTCGATTTCTGAGCAGATCAGATCGATCGCTCGCTCTTGGGTTTGGCGATCCATGTCACTGCCCTTCACGACAACGCTTTTTTCTGGCTGAGCACGGATCATTGTTGTACTGTGTTGAGGGAGGGCCTCTACTTCCTTCCTTTATGTACCACTGGCCTGAGCGCTGATTGGATCACTCGTGGGCTTCTTATTTTGGTCAATTCGAGGTCAAACGCGCGTGACAATGGCTATGGCGACCTGATGACCAGCAGAAGACTTTTCGAAGGTGTTTTCTTCTTCTCACGTGCGAAAACTGCAATAAGTACACTGCTAACAATGCGTTCAAAGGCATGCCATCATCTGTTATTTACATCACCTAGGACCTAATTGTCCTCCTTGCGGAAGTTGAAAGAGCACTACTGGGTTTCGCGTTGCTTAGTGACGCCGATCGATAGGAATATGTAATGGCATGAAGGAGTTAATAGTACACCCTTGTGCGTTTTGCAAAATAACGCTTAAAGGGAAGCCTAATGTGGACAAAGATAAGTAACGCAACAACAAAACAATACGCAAGAATGCGCATGCTTCTTTTAATGACCTCGGAAATGAATGTATGAACGCTGGATAAAGTTTTCCCCAAAAGTCTTTTCGTGTATGGTTTGAAAGTTCTAGTTATTTTTTACCTCAAAGCTGTCAGAGGCAGGAAAATAGCCGCAGCCGAACGGCATGCATACACACGAAGCGCCCATTAATGGAACCTGCGGACAAGGGTGGAAAACTGGTTCCCCGGCGGGGGGCGGGCACGCAGGGACAGTTTGTGGTATATTGACTATCGTCAGGAAATCATAGTGAACTCATGCATCGATTATCTGTGAATCTGATCCGGACTTTTTAGTCAGTGAAACATTGACCCAGGAAACATTTCTATGTCCGTTGCAATTAGGGATGTCCACTGGCATAGGAAGACAAATAACGAGTTAGGTGACGGGTGAGGGCAATCGTTGATGAACGTTCACCTGACCGCTAAAGAGACTCATCTGTTCTTCTTGGCCTTGGGTGTCGACAAAGACCTTGACTGCCGTAACAGCTGGAACTATGGGCAGATAGTATTACCAGCAGAAACAAGGGAGACTGGAATGGCCCCTTCTGGTTTATTAGCCCTCGTCAGCCAGCCAGGCCCAGCCCCAACTGTTGCCCCACTCGATCCTCGATTTTGCGATCATTTTGATCAGAATTAAACACCCTAACCATTGAGCTACCAGGTCGCTGTCTAGCTGATTTTGCTCGGGAAATGGTGGCAGACGTTGACGAAAGGGCGACAGTGGCTTATGTAGGCCCACCCGTTAATCCTTACTCCTTGCATGTTTTCCTACGAAAACGGCGCTTATCGGGTTTTATGGGTGGGAAATTAGGACACGCAGTGGAATATACTTTAAAAAATGCTAAATGCATTTTTATTTTACTGTATTTATAAGTTTTGCTAGTTTATATCTGTAGATTTTCCTAATCTGTATTATCGTTGAACTTATTGCGGAAAAACCCGATTATCAAATTGCAGATTTCTTAAATTGCCCGAAAAATTGAAATGGTGGTTAGGAGGCTGTCTTCTTCAACTTATCATCTATCCAACTTACCGTTCTTGAGTTATATTAGTATAGCCCGCTGCGCGGAGCGCCGCGCACACCTTTAATTTACATGCGGAACAACTTACTACCAGCGGCCGCGGGAAGCAACTTCGACTACATTTTTCCACTTTACACTAACTTCTAAAAATTTCCTTCTCTACTTATCCTATTTCCCCACCCTCCAGAACTCTATAACCACCCTTTTTTGCTGGATAATATGCTGGGACTAGGGTTATATGAGTAGTCCTACATAAGCTACTTTTGCCGACGAAAGTTCACCCGACCGCTAAAGGGACTCGTCTCTCCCCCTCTGCCCCGGGCATAGCCAGAGGCCCTGAGAGTCTTAACAGCTGGTGGTATCTGCAGGTATTATTGCCGACAAGGACAGGGAAGACTGGAATGGCTGTCAGGGCATCTGGCGAGACCCAAAGCAGAGCAGGACAGATAGTTCTCTTTAGTGATCAGGTGAACGTCCATCAATAAGTGTCAATATCCTTCGATATAACCCCGCCAGGTAACGAGCTCGTTGTTTACTGGTTAGGGCGGTTTATTCTGATCAAAGGGGTCGCAAGTTCGTGGATCGTTTGGGACGCCACTTGGGTCTGACGAGAGCTAATGAGCCAGAAATGGGCATGAGTGATGCGGACGACAAAAAGCAACAAACTTAACCCCTTGATTGAGGATTAAATTAAATGTGCTGATGGTCGTTAACGCAAGCATTCTGTCTGTTTTAAACCTCCGACCATATAGCCTGTAAAGTCCTATAACCCAAAGCTTTTATGGCAGAAATGAGGATGACTCTCAGTTAATTCTTTCCTTTACTCATTAATGAACGTTCGTCGATCGTTTACGGAAATCAGTTGTTCCACTCTGCCGAGGGGCTTTATCTCGAGTCCCACCAGCAGTCGCACAGTAGCTAGAAGTTTAAACAGATCGTACTGCTAGCAAAGACAAGGGTCGCTATAATGAAACCGAAAGACCCACTGTCACGGCAAGAAACATCCGGAATTGTCTACGGGATCTGGTGTAGTTGATGAGAAAGTAACTGTGTCGGAAAAACTGGCAGACAGGATCTGGTGCAGTTGCGGGCAAAGCAACTATTTCGGAGAAACTGGCAGGTATTCTCAAGACGCGAATTGCCGAACACGCGGCAGCAGTGCGGCGAAATGATGCCAAGTCTCAAGTTGCGGCTCATTCGACGAGACCCGGCCACACGTTCGAGGTTGATGAGGCCGAAATTCTCGCAAGAGGTGACAATCGGGTGAGCCGAGAATTACTTTAGTCATGGTTCACGGCCCCCAGTCCATAAGCAAGTGCAACGATTTGACCAATCTATATTCGGCTAAAGCAAGCTGCTACTTTGGGAACGCACAGGCCCCGCAGAGAACCAGATGGCCGAGCAATTATCACGCCCGAGTCAACCAGGCATGATGAAAGTTCAGCCAGTCAGAGCTCGCAAGCCAGTCAACAAGCTATCAACGCACAAGAAGGCCATTACCGGTAATTATCATTAGTGCCTGTGTCCTATAACTACTGCAAATTCCTGTGCATGCATTACCCGTTTCTGCTACTGCTTCCTGCTTATGTGTCTGATGATGAATTCGCGACGGATATCGAAACTTCTTTTTTCAATTACTTCATGGGACTCGTATGTTCGCTGGTATTGACCATTTCTACCTCATTAGTCGTCATCCGCCTGGCATATCCAACTCCAAATGTTTACATCGCTTGAGCTTCGAACCCGCGACCTTTTCATTATAAACTTAACGATCCTACCATTTAACCATGGGTTCCTTATCTTCCCAAGACCATCTGGCGTTGGGTGTGAATAGCGTGTGACGGCCTTTCCGGCCTCTGTTGTCTTTGCCGGCAGTGCGAGGAGACCGTAATAACTTTTCAAATTATAAAAAAACTGGAGAGAACTCTAGATTTCGAATACAGAAAGCAATTTCTTCGAATTTCACTGTTTGCTTGAGCACATCAGAGGCTTCTCGAATCGCCTTCAAGACAATGCTGAGTGTTTTAAATATATCCCGGAGTTTGATACATCCCAGGATTGAAGCATTGTTTTCCCGGAAGAAATTTGCAGAAGACGAAGATCACTAGATTAACAGAATTTAATGATGACATAAAATTTCGTGACCTTTCATTCAGCTGCAGACGGTCGTTGCCTTTTAATAAGAAAATTAACTGTCCAAGTAAGTGTCAGCCTCGAAGGGTGAAACTTTATAGGTAAAGGGAATAGAAACAATTAGTCATAGATGTGGGCGCATGGTAAGGGATAGAGGAGGTGGAAAGTTAATTTTCACAGCATGGCATTTCATGTTAATGCATGTTCATGAAAGCCAGTAGGACGCGGTTAAAAGCGGGGGGGACTTGGGACAGGGTGGCAGTCAGTCCTAAGGGTGACAAAGAGGCGTGAGCGGGAATGAGTTTATCGATCGTTACCAGGGCAATGCAAGGTAGATCACATGGTCTAGCTGCTAACGGAGTCCTGGTTTTCTTCTCCGTATTGCAGTGGCCTCCTCAAAGCGTAGGAGACGCCTGGTCGTCGCCCGAAGTACGACCTTAAAAGCAGTCGTTTGGTCGACTTCATGGCCACTAGTACATTGGTACATCCTAGGATGTTGAGGTATTGCATCGTGGAGGTCATTAGCCTGAGCGTATCCACAGGAACCCACAGCAACCGCGAAGGAGTGCAAACCTGCGCCTCTCCTTGTAGAAGGATGCGTAGTTTGTGAAGATAATTATTAGGAGTCAACGCTAAACCTGTGAATAATAAGATTTACACGGCAATGGCATATTCTTATGAGTCGTACGCGTAATGTTAAGTCCCTAAAAGAACCGCGCTGGACAAAAATGAAAGCATGTCAAGCAGTATACGAATTGCGTTTCCATAAAAGATGCCGAAGATTGGGCAAGGACGAGGGCTCTGGTGTTACGCATAGGAGCAGGCTCAGCTACCAGATACCCGTGGCTGTCCTGGCATTCCTACTCCTACTCACGCCTGTGCTCAATCCCGTCTCCCGTCTTCCTGACTTTGTCTTAACACCGGATACAAGCGGGGCGAAAGGAGAGATAGTGCGGCAGATACAACGCAAGTCAAATATCGAAGCCCATTACCAGCATCCTATCAACCCTACTACGCCGTTGAGCACAAAGTTCGAATCGACGTTCAAACTGTCGGCATGATTCCATGACGAACCAAATCCTTTGGAGCATCGGTATATTTCCTCAGCACACCAGCATAATCCAATTAAGCTAGTGCTTCTGCACGATATTCCTAGACTAACTGTTCCCGTACAACTGCAAGTGAGTTCCGTTAGCTGTCAGTGA